CAAACACTTTCTCTATGCATCATTTCATCTGGGGCCATATTAGACATTTCCACTTTTACATTTTACTTGGTCAAATTTGATTTTAAGTAGGATTTAAAGGTAAGTTGTAAGAGCTCATATTTAAGAGCAAAGAAGTTTTATCAGTAAATAGTCATACTAAAAACTGTTGCACTCATATTGAAAGATTTGCATGTAGAAATTAAAACCGATTTCAGGTATGAGGTGACCAAATCGCTGACATTTTGTTGAAGAACTTTTGTTCACTTACTCAGTCCTGGGTTTGAATCAGTCATATTAAACTACTGATTACTAAAATCAATTATTGCCTTTTAGTAATAAATACAGTTTTCAAATTAAACATCTTGGCACAAAACTACATTAATAGAAAAATGTTATAATTCTACAAATATTATGAACTGATTACAACTCATTCATCTTTCAAAATTACCAATCATTCTTTGTTTCTAAATCATCAGTGATTCACTTCTTGACATGTGAACATGTTTTAGAAATACGCAAATCACACATCAGTAAGGATTTTCTATGCACCAACCTCTCTGAATGTCAATTTCCTTGAATATATCAGCTAAAATTGCGTATTGATAAAAAAGAACTCTCTGGTGTGAATATTTATGAATGAACCCCGGGAATAAAAAGAAGCATGGTTAAATTAGACTTCCATAGAATATGCCAAGAAATATGCACATGATGTTAAAAGTTGCTACATGAGCAGAAAACTCACACTTCCCTTAGATAACTCTACTCCATGAGGAACTGAAATATATAATTACCATATTTTAGCATTGGTGATGTCTTGAATTTATGAAGCCCTAAGCTGAGTACCTAATACTACAAAACAAAACAAACATAAATGTCTTCAAAAAGCAGTTTCCCAGATATCAAGTAGAAGGAGAACAAAGTCAATCTTAATGTTAAATTTGACACAGTACATATTGACACACACTAGCTTGAACAAAATACAGGTTACTAATTCCCAAGTAAACAAGCATGTTCTGTAATTTTTAGCAATGTGATCTTTCAGGCACAGCTGTCCATTCTTCAGGAAGATGCTCAGGTGAAAATGTAATTATAATTGCTAAGGCAGAGTTTCCTTGGTTATTTTTATATGTCCAGTGGACTGAGCCAACCTACCCCAACCTGTGATTCTGAAAGCCATTATACACAAAGAACAATGTTTTTGCTACTGAAACCCCCAAGCACAGAGGCCAGGGTACCAGAATGGGTGTATTTTTCTGTGACTCAGCTTTCTCTATAGAAATCTCTGTGATTTAACGATGTAGGTGATCTGAAGCAAGACCAGGATTTTAAAAGGGAGATGAGTGTACAGGCCCAGAGATAAAGCCATGGCTCTCATAGCTTGCACCAGCATCTTCGTGTTGCCAGCATATTTGTCTCAGAGTCTCCTGTATCTCTCTTCATTTTGTTGTTTACTAAGGAATAGCATGTTAAAAATAGCTGCCATTGAAATATATCCTGCCATAAATTTCCCTTGTACCTTCTATAAACCAAAGTCAAGTCCATACTACTTAAGTTTATGTAGGTGTTTGAATAAGACCACCTTTCATATCAAAATCACTTCAAGAGTGAAACTGGGAGTTAAGCTTAAGAAAAATATGAAAATATTTCAGGTGTCCTTTTTGCCCCTTACAGATACTGACTTCTTGTTATCAAGAGAAAGGGAACTTGGGACAACTGGTTGACATCAAGATATTTTGAAGGACAGGTATTGTGTAATAGTTGAGTAGCTTTAGCAATGCTTCCACTTGAAAGAAATGACTGTACTTCAGAGTTGCCATAACTTAATATTTCTTTAAAAATGAATAATAACCACATGTTAAACCTCACTCTACACACAGGCTACTGACCACGACACATGCAAAACAATTTAGTGAATTAGAATGACCAAATTATCAGACTTGATGGACTCTTTCATGCTAATTCCCAATAAGAAAGTTAATTTAAAAAGGGGGGGATAAGCTAGTATGGAACAGAAACAAACTCAGTGCAAGGTAAGATGTCTCAGAAGAGGGTTCACAGGACAGGTGCGTCAGGGCATGGGAAGTGGTGCAGGCTGACATGTCTGAGCATGCAGACAAGAGAAACTTTGAAAAGGTTTTCTTTTTTCTCTCAAAGAAAAATGGTCAGCCGAAAAATAAATAAATAATAAAATGACTTTGGCTGACCTGTTATCTTGATTTTTGAAAGAAGACTCTAGAGCTGCACATACTTCATTTTGTTTAACTATTTATCAGGTTGCTTGTAAAAATGAATCAAACACTATTCTTTAAAAAGATATTAAACAGCAATATTTACTTAATCATAATGTAAGAATTAAACACAAAAGGGAAAGAACAATTACTACAAGTCAATCCTTCTTTCACTTGAAAAAAAAAAGTAAGAGACCCAAAATTCTCTTTTCTTACTATTAGATTTCAATGAAAGCATTTAAAAATTATTTAAATATCAAATTTATAATTATATTTTTGGCTACTTGGAAATACAGTAGTTATTCATCTACTGAAAAAAGAAAATGTGGCAGTTACTAATCCAGAGAAGTTTAAAAAATCCAGCACAGCTGTATTGATGTTTCAAAATTTATTGTATGAATAACTGACAAAATAGTGCCATAATTTTTTTCATAAAATGAATGTGCTTTTATTCCAGCACATACTTTCTCCAGGGCAGGGGAGGCTGATGTCTTGACGTGTATTTCTTATCTACTCTCCCTCCTCCAGTCCCAAATCCTCTTGCCTGTAACTAATCTTTTATGACTGAGGTCACAGAGGTGGTGCCAAAACTCAATAATGCCATTCAATCTACTGTAGCAATGTGCTTATCTCATTACTGGAATGTAGACCATTTAGACCAACGTACTTCATGGTAACGATGAAATGTTCACCTAAAACGCCCTACTGCTAGTTTCTTACCCACTAAAAAAATTGCAGATTAGAAAAGTCCATGTGTGTATTTCAATAAAGAATAAAAGTTTCCGCTTAATTATTCGATGCTTGTTTTAATTGGGGAAAAGTATTTTGTGAGCCTCTTGTATGATTTAAACTAGCGAACAAACAAATTCTTTTCTACCAACATAGGTAAAGACCAGTGCTTTAAACAAACAGTTACGAGTGAATTTTATTTCTCTGAAGTTTCAAATTGTGAAAATGGAATTGTACTCAGGCAGTTCAAAAAACAAAACAAAACAAACAACAAAAAAAAACAAGCAATGAAACATTTACACGCTATTAGTCCCAGATAAGATAAATGCAAAACATACAGAAATATTTTCCTTTTCAAAGGGATTGTATCTCTAAAAACTATTTTTAAAATGTCAATAATGATAGTTGATGATTGTATCTGAAAGCCTACACAATAGATGCTAATAGCTCATTTGCGGAGCAAACGAAAGTAAATATGTAACTACTGCAGTGAGGTGTATAATTCATATGGCTCCCAATGCTTATTTAATTCTACTGAAGCCCGAAAGTATTTGCTAATAGTCAAGTTACTTAAAACACTAATGTATTTATCTGTATGCCCCAAAATTCTATCTCTGTATGTATTAATGTTGCCATGGTATCTACTTAACTGTAACAACAAAAATTTTTACAACTGTCAGTCAAAATATTTCTTAGCAAATTTTAGTGAAGCGGTCTATCAATTTCAGATACTTAGTAAAATTATGGTACTGAAAATAGAATGAGTGTTAAAATTAGGAAAACAAAAATAAATAAATAAAAGGTTTTTAGACCAAGTAGCGTAATGTTATTTTCTCTGCATTTGGTTAGTGGTAGCAAATTTAATGATCTGTTTTAGCAAAAACTTGACACATCTAACTACATTAATTGTATTATTATTACGGAGTGTTACATCAAATAATATCTCAGCCATAAACTCACAGACAAAGAGAACTTATGCAGATAAATTACTAGAAACTTCTAATTTCCATGAATTTTAGTGTTGACTGATATGATCTGTTCATACACTTCAATCCTAAATTTGACCAGCAGCAATGTGTAAACAATGCCATCAATCATGATGTAAAATTGCAAACAAAATTGACTCTGTATATGCACACATATATAAATTAACCCAAAGGTAATCATAATACATTAAAGAAAAACAAACTTAATTTCAGTTTGTTCTACACTCAAGTGAACAATGTGCTATATTGTATTAAGAGGAAAGTGGCATTGTTTTAAGTATGTGATAAGCATACCAATTAAGATAGTTCTAATTCTTGTTTTTACTGACTGGTAATTCATTTGATTCTCATTGACATGGCAAACTGAAAATACAAATATAATTAAGATCAAACTTGTGCATTAGATAGACTACTATGACACAGGGGGCAAAAATCATGTGTGATGGCAGTGATACAAAGCTTTCTTTAAAACAGCAGAGATGCTGACATTCCAAAGCTTTAACTTTAAAACTGCTTTGCAGGCTGTGTTTTTAATATCTTAAGTTAAAGACATTAAAATCGCTCATAAAATCTAAAATTGTTACCATCTAATAACTAGACTATCTTACTGCAACTTGTAAATGTAACTCAAAAAAAACCTTAGCATATAAAATTACGTAATGGTTCTCATGACAGAATTCAGGTGTGGAAACATCAGATTTAAAATCTGCTCCAAAAAGTGAGTCGTTGAGCCTCTCACGTTCTCTCATGAAAACTCACCCTTTATCTTACAGGAAAGCATTAAATACAATTATTTCATAATTCAGACATGTTTACAAACCAAACATTTTTATGGAAAGATTTGTGAAAACGAACCGAGGAATCACATAATCTTTTAAAATTATATAACAAATATTAACATTAACAACAAAACAAAACCCAATCATCAAGGCATTTTACAATACACCAAGACCCCACTTAAGTCAATATTAAACTTAATTCTATACACAAAACTTCTAGAAAACTATTATGTACTGTTAACAGGATGTTACTTACAGAGATGAACAGTTTTATGAATTCTTCTGTTATTCGTCCCGACAGGTTTTGAAGAATCTCTCCATAGTGTATACTGCTCAGTAAGACAGGAACTCCCCTATTCTGGTGTGCTGAAGGGAAAAAAATATCCTTAAATCTTCTTATTTCAGATTATTCTTATTCTATCAGGATTTGGGCGGCAACAGGCAAAGACTCCACAGTGACAATATGAGAAAGAAAGAAAAAAAAAACAAAAAACCTGAAGGCTTATTTCATATTTACTGTATAGAGTCATTTTTGACATGCCTATACAACTGGTTGTGGCGGCTTTCAAACATGATTTCTAATAAAAAAAAAAAAATCGCTCCAGGTTCTTTGAGAGAAAGCTCGCCGCTGGGAAGTTGATTTTGGCACTTGGCCAAAATCATGTGCAAAGGGGCCTCATTAGGGATTCATGGCAGCCTTCAGCGCTCTCAAAAAATGTGACCCAACAGGCTAAATGAGCCACTAAAATTAAAAAGTAAGAGACAAAGACAACTTACTTAATATTCCTTGCAAAGCAACATTAAACTTTTTCTTTTCTTTTTTACTAATCAGACCCATGTTAGCCGAATGCACTATCTCCTGCCCTCTAATGTTCAAACAATTTCTCTTTAAAACTTGTCTATTTCCTCCACCCAGAATGTTTTGTTTCTGTGTCACTTTGCAAAGATGTCTCTGTAGTCAAACAATATCTATTGCGACCAATTCAATAAGAGAAAACGAAAACGTCGAAAGACCGACTACAGACTCCTGATTTAAGTTTTAAATAAACGAACAAAAATAAGTAAGCAATCTTCAGTACATTTCAACTTCCACAGAAGTAAGCACACACACATACCCCTGTAGAGTTGCATCCCTTGTATGGGTCAATTTCACTGCCAAACTTCGCCCCCACCCACAAAGTAGATCTGATCCCGGAGCCTTACCTAGATGTCTTCTGGCTTTTCTGTAGATCAAAAAGTTTCCTGCCTAAGCACACAGATATTCTCTCACACACCATAGAGGCCCTTTTATGAATCCCACACTGTAACAGGCTGCTTTCCACACCAGTTGGGAGCCCAGTGCGTCAGCTCTTGAGATAAAATTCATGGCTAACACACAATTAGGGGGAGAGGTTGTCTCCGGGAGAATTTATCTTATAACGAAAGAAGCAGAAACACTGCTATTTTTTTTTTTTACATTTTCCCCCCCTTTTTCTTTTTCCTTTTTCTTTCTTTCTTTTCTTTCTTTTCTTTTTTTTTAAATAGCAAAGAGAAGAGGGTGCGGTCAGATGTTGGGATTTTGCCTGAGAAAAGGGCCCTACACAGCACTAGGACCCACTAAATACTAGCAGAGCAGCCTGGGAAGGGAGCCAACGGAAGGACTTTGTTTGACCCAGCTGCCAATCTCCCCCGAAGCCGTGCGCCAGACTAAACACTCACACTATTTTAACTCAAATCAGGCTACAGCAGCTGTTTGCTTTCCGGCTCTGAGCTCGACACCCACATGGCCTGTGCAGTTCACCAGCGAGCTTTGCGAACTGCCTTTGCTGAAATCTCTGTTCCGGGGTGGGATTTATCAGTGGAAAGAAAAATTTAACCCTGCACCTCATGGTTAACAGAGATTGTTTGCTTCTCAGCTCTTGGTCCCGTCACCAGAAAGTGATTTTATAATGTCTGAAAATAAGAGTGTTAATTTTACACCCAGGGAGCAAGTTGGGATTTGAAAGTAAGGATTCTGAATTGGCTTTTAAAGTTTTCTAATGTGTTGAAATTAACAGAGAAGCGTGGCAGTAACAGTACGCTTTACTGTAACTTTAGGAGCAAGGCTGGTGTCTGACGGTTCCTATTCAACACTTTCCACCATCCAAGATGGAGAACTGGGTTATACCAAGACTTAATAACGTCTCCTTAGTGGTATCCTCCACTTCTAGAAAGCTCCTTTACAAGCGACCATAAAGTAAAGTACACAGGATTGCTTCTTCACATGTAAAAGTACATGTAACCCAAAGCACAAAGCAACCCAATTCACTTTCCCTAAGTTTCTAATTCCTTATTATTTAAAGGCTTAAAGTCTCATCAATGATCGTCAAAGATGATCCATTGGTAGCGTAGAGCAAAATTACATGAGAAGGAAACCAGAAGAAGATCAATACTATCGAAATTAGGAAGATGTGATGTGATAATTAAGATTAACTGTACAAAAATAGATGGGGAACTCTCTGGACACATGGGGAACATTCATCACTAAATCAATCCTTCCTTCCTTCCTTCTTCCTTCCTTCCTTCCTTCCTTCCTTCCTTCCTTCCTTCCTTCCTTCCTTCCTTCCTTCCTTCTTTCCTTCCTTCTGTAGAGAGGGAGAAGCTGCAAGTCGAGCGACTTCATAGAACTGAGTAATTTTACTCCCAATAGACTATGAAACCCTGAGATGGAAAGCCAGCATCGTTTGTGTTGACCTTAGCTTTCATTGTTAAATCAGGAAGAAATAACTCATATTTAAGAGAATGAACTTTAATCCGACTATGGTGAACACCGATGTGATATGAAATACCTTGCAAGTGTGCCTGATTGCTTTTCAGTGGTTTGTTTCATATTTCCAGTTCTGAGTATTTTTTTTCTACTACGGAATCTAGCCAGATATTTCTTTTATTTGTTACATGTGTGCTGTATACACGTTTCCATGTTCATTTGTATGTAGATGTATTTGGAAGTTAGAGACATTGGGTGTCTTCCTAAATCATGCTCCACCCTATTTTTAAAGACATGGTCTCACTGATTTAAGAAGGTCGTAGATTCTGACACACTTAGGTTTGTTAGGTAGCTAACAAACCCCAGGGATCATCTTAGTCTCCCCAGAGCTAGGATTAAACCATGCCTAGCTTTACATGTGGGTGCTGGCATATGAATTTATGTCTTTATGATTGCTTGTGGCAAAAACTCTACTGACTGAGTGATCTCAGCACAAAATTATGTAAAGTTTACTTCATAAACAATGTTATTTCTTCATATAAGATGTGGGAAAGATCCTGATTGTCAATGAACTACCAGATCCTTTGAGTACACTCACACTGAAAGAGCCAGTTACTAAGACTGATGATGACCATGCAACTCAACTGAGTTCCTAAGTCCAAATCCATCAGTGTTTATGAGAAACTGTGATTCTTCTCTTCCTCATTATTTCATTGTTGATATGTTCCTATTTATTTTCAAAAGTTCTTTGGTTTGTATAACCTTCATGCATTGTTAATCTTGTTTGATAGCTTTAAATTTACAGTGATTATTGTAATAAAGTTTAAAATACATTTGATAATTGTAGAGAAACTATTATATGCAATTTATTATTTTCCACAAAATTATTTACTAAAGCATAATATACAGTTCTCGAGTTTTCTTCTACTTTTTGCCTAAGGTGGTAGATGTAAGTACATACAGACACAGACATACATACAAACACAGAAAATATTGACCAAGAAATATTTACTCTTACTAACCTGACTGACTTTATAAAAGCTACATACTCTCAGCATGACCATTCCAATTTCTAGATCTAAAAATTTACTTTGTAATAATTATTGAAGGAAATATATCCTGTCATATGTTTTGTACTTCCAAAAGAATTTTAAACTATCTATAGTGCACAGGAATAACAGAAAATGCAACAAATGAATATGCAGAATTAAGTTTATTTATACTCTTAAATAGAATCATAAGCCCTAATTAAAGTTTCACAGACAAAAAGATATTATAAGCATTTTATGTAAGAAAAATAAAAGCAGACTGTACTTGATATCTCACCGGAGCAGCAAGAAGTACCTTAATGCAAAACTGAGAAAACTACTCAGGGGTGGGGGAGAAAATTATAGACCAGAATATTTTAAGAAGTTAGAACAAAAGTCCTCAATAAACATTTGTAAGTCAAACTCACCAATTGATAACCTAAGTATACAGAGTAACAAGTACTAATTTCAGTGTTTAAATGAACATCAGTTATTACAAACCAACACAGCAACACACTAAAGAAGAATGGAAATCGCATGGAATATTTATAGATCCCAAAGACAAAGCAATTGACAAACCCAATTCTAAGTTATGATTAAAATCAAAGAAATAAGGGATAGAAAAATCTTCTGTCTGGTAATGAATATTTGAAAAAATCTATAGCTAAGATCACATCAAGGCTGAAAAAATAGATGCTATCCCATATGAATATAGCTAGTGCAATAAGACAAGAAAAGTAGCTAAAACATAAATATTTCAAAGTTATATAACATCATGTTTATTCATAGATTGATTGTCTACTAAGGAGAAAGTAGCAGGCCTTGAAACGAACATATCTTAGAAGTAATGAGCATCTCTGGATCCAGATCTTTGCTTCTAATACATCTCTCCAACGAAAGGATTCTTAGGGAAATGGTGATTAGTCAAAGAACTTTACAGGCATCTACAGGATGGGACTGAACCAACTCATCAGGACAAAAAATATAAAGGACACTAGAATAGAACAGAATGTATTGCCAACCAATTTCAAAGGATATAGATTACACTTAAGGTAGTCCAGACATGAAAGCTGGAAGAAGTTGAACACAGGTAAAATAATACTGAATTATTTAAAAAATTTATTCATCAGTCTATTTTTATGTCAGGAAATGATTACACAAATACTCGGAGAGTAAGCAAATATCTTACATAAAGAATTCAAAGTTCCATACGTACATCTTCCATGCTGGGGGATAGAGCACACTTCCCACTCTTTTGCAGCTACTTTCTTTCCAAAGACTAAATGATGGAAGTAGAAGAAAGAACCAAGCACTTTTATAAAGGTATTCTTTGCTCAAGTACAAAACTCCAGTCTAGACACACAAAAAGTGTCAGAAAGTTTCTAACCTAAGGATATTTTACCAAGCAAGTTATCAGTAAACCTCAGACAGATTAAAAGTTTATGACATAACCAAATCTGAGAAATTATTCAAACCAGTTATAATTTAGAGACACGACTACTAATTGAATTAGGATATTTTATGTGAGGTCTCAGAAGACGAGCATCGATAAGAAGCTGATGAGGCATTTTCAAGTGTGGACTATAATAGTAATTAGTAAAGTTTCATTAATT